TCCCTCAAGTAACCACACGTCCTTGTCATCTGGTCAACGCCAGAGTAGAGCAGGCTTTGTAAGTCTGTAGGTGTGTGTAGAAGAATGCGTCCAAGAACTGCCAGGTTTGGGTAGTGAAGGAGAAGATGTTCAACGGTCTCCTCGTGGTAGTCACAGTGTCTGCAATGGGGTTCCCACATGGGGTTGATTCTGTTTATGTGCTTATTGGTGTGTAAGTGTCCTGTGCGCGCTCTGAAGGTGAAAGTCTGATCAGCTCTACATAAGAGATTCTTACATAACACAAACATGGTGTGTTTTCCGTAGATTTGGACTAGAAGTTCTCCTTCTCCCTTTCCCTTCTTTCTTCCCTCTGTTCCAGCTGCCAGACTGAACTCATGTCTTTCTGACCTAAACGGCTGGTCATTGTTGAACAAATATTATATCTTATACCGACCTGGAAAATATGTTTTCTAGTCTGCTGGGTGAGACTTTGTTCTTATTACTGTCACATTCTTTTGGTGAAGGACTGAAGGATCGACAGAGGGTCTTATCTTGTGACACATAGTGGGCGATTCTGAAAAGTGGCTTACACTTACACACAAATTATGTACACACACACATGCGCAAGCGTGTTTTTACAGGGAGACATGAAAGTGTTCAGTCTTTTAATTAATATGAATAATTACCCTTGAAATTTTTTTTATCCTGAACTTCGTAAACTTGTTTCACTGTGTTCCAAATAGCTTACAAGAGACAAACTTAAGCTCTCAGTCAACAGCGATAGTATTTCTGAAATTTTTAGATGTTCATTTGCCCCCTTTCCAGAAAATAAAAATATTAAGGGTTTATTCTTGAGAATTCCCAGGTCCTGACAAGATGTTTATTATGGCTAGCTACACAAGAAGAAGATTACATGTGTGGAAGTGTTACTCTTGAACATTTGGCTACTGGACTAGCATACTTTCATCACTGATTTTGTGTGATATCTTCGTTATTGTGACAAAAGAAACAGAGTAGGTATGGAACATTAGTTCTCACTTTTGTCTCAAGAAATGCATCTCGCGTGAGATGTAACATACATCTGTCGCTATCGCACGACAAATAAGTACCTCCTCCATCCACGATATGTTTTTTTTCTCTTCGTGTAAAGCATAGTCAATAGCAGTCACTCATTTTGCTACTGACGACATTGACATATTGAAGTTCAAGTCCTAGATTCATAGACCTCAGTTTACCTCGGTGAACATACAAGTGTGTAGTTGTGAATTCCTCTATGCTTGTCTCTCCTCCTACATTATTTTTTAAAGTGTTGTTGATGTGGTTGACATTTGAAGAGTTTATTGTTTGTGTATGTATATATAGTTTACTTTGAAAATGATTCGACCTGTGTAAAACTAATTTTGATTCTATTGTCTGGCTACTGTTGTTCCTGTTTAAAAAAGATTGGTGTGAATGATTTTGCTGTCAGTTCGTGAGTAATGATGAGATTTGTGGCTTGTGAGATCATATGATATATATATATATATATATATATATATCCACATAGCCACCAAACTTTGACTAGGTAGGCCAACAATGCAACTTTGCGCACCGTGAAAGTGTGCGGGAGCGAGGCGAGGCATCAATTTCGTGTCAAGTTCACAGGCCATTTTCTCACTGAACTAATGTTGACACATAATGAAAGAAAATTTACATGTATATTTGTGTTCTGTGTCTTTTCTTCTTTCGAAATATATATGTTGTCCACTCAACAGCACGAATCTCATCTCATTTCAGGGGTTGATATATTCGTGTCCCAGGCTGAGTGAGGAACCAACGACAATGGCTCGGTACACGAAGCTGCGTTCATTTTGGGTCAAACACAAGCTGGGAGCTCGCCTTAAAGTGTTGATTGTGGTCGTCGCGTTTGTGTTTCTGATCACTCCTCTGAGGAATGTGGTCATCCCAGGCTGGCCTCATGTGTTCAGAGACCTGAGTACGATTAAGGTGAGGGGAGAGGGTGGTTGTCGGGTGCTCTGGTGTGGTTTGCTTTGTTCCTTCCTATCAAACAACCGTCGTCCTTATCTCTCCTCCTTGTTTTGTGTTTGTTACTCTCTCGTAACACCTCTAATCTTCGGCACTTATATGACCTTATTGTGTTGCAAGTGCTGGAGAACTGGTAC